GTGTAAAACCAGCCACCTGCCAAAAAGTCATTTCACATCACACACCTCCTAATTCTGTCCTGTGGTTCAATTCAGTGGCTCTTAAGCTGAGAGATTGCAGCCAGCACAGACAGCGTGTAGGTTAGTCAGGCTCTGGAGACAAACCTTCTAATACAGCTCCACAATTACTAGCTGGGGATCTTGATCAGCCACTTGGTTTCCATAAGCCTGTTGCTTTGTTTGTAAAATGGGATACGCAGAGTCCCTCCTCACAGCTTATCGTGAAGAATAAGTGAGATGGTGCATGGGTAACACTTAGAACAGTGTCTGATACACGGTACGTGCTCAAAAAATGTTAACTGAAGGCACCCTGTAATAGCCTATCACTTTTTCTTCCCCCTACTTCAAGCTGTGACAACCAGGAAGACCTGAGAGGTCATTTGTAAGTCAACAGATAATTGGCCACCAGGACTGGAGTCTGGCATTGTCTAGCTCTGTACCATGCCTCTGAGCAAATGGGACCCCCCTGCCCGTCTGAGGGCCTAACCCCACTGAAAATCCTGGTTGGCACATTGAGAAGGATAAAGAAAAGGCAGGGAATGGGTTACAAATCTTGCTTTCTAAGATAAGTCACATTTCATCAATCTAAAACCATCTACGCCATATGAAGATGGAATACACTTATCGCTAAAAATTCAGCTTGCCTTTTTCACACCCCATTGACATGACTGGCAGCTTACGGTTTGCATGGAGTTTTGATTTAGAGGTTCAGAATTTCCGGGTTTGAGAACTCCTGCCCACCGGGGTCTCTAACATAGACAGACTCGTGACAGTCTACTTACTGTGCTGTACTCCTGACCGGAACGGAAGCAGAAGCGAGGATCCTCAGCAGAGCACAGATCAGAACTCCAGACCCAGAAGGAGCTGATGCTCACTGTGGCCCTGGGAAGAGCCTCCGAGGCTCAGTACACTCGTTTGCTTCTGATGACATGCTCCATCCGCTGGGACTCCAGTCTAAGCTGGCCATAAGATCAAGGGGAGGACCCTTCAGACTCTCAGTTCTGAAGAGAACTTTCTACTAGATACCAAGCCAAGTTTACAATCCACCTCCTAACTTGGGGGTCCCTTCCAGATCCCAAGAGGACCAAGTCCCATACACCGCAGCTGGCTGGTCGCTGGGACTGGCTGGTTTCCCCTTACTGGTGCCGTGTTGTGCTGCCTCTATTTCTGGCTCGGGATTCTCCTCAGCACATCCCTGGAAACCCCTCACGTCCTGCTCAACTTGCCCACGTGTGGGCTGAGGTTCCCTCGCTCCCACCTTCTCCAGCTCTGCACTGGCAACTCCCCGGGCTCTGCCAACACACTGCAGGGCAGGAATGGGGAGGAGCCAGTTGTAGAATGCAAACCACTGACATCCTGGGGAGGACCTGAGCCAAGCTGTCTGTACGGCACACACCTGCTGGCAGCCCTCTGTGCCCACACACTGAGGCTGAGCCACAGCCTGCATCCATAGGAGCAGAAACAACACTCACCTAGCACTTCTGTGTACATTGATCAATTCTCTCCTTACAGCGGCTCTGGGGGCAGGCACTCTGAGCAGCACCATTTACCGATGATGAGCTGACGCTCAGGGAGGTAAATGCCTTTGCCCAAGACTGTTCGGTTCAGTAGTGCTTCCAGGACTGCCTTGCACTTAACCACTTTCTATCGCCTTCTACTGGCAGAAAAGTAGGACTGGAGTCCTCCACCTAGAATTGACACCGACTATTTTAAATATTGTCAGTCTTTAGCTTGTCTTTTTTTTTTTAAAAAAACAGAGATGTATCCTCTGGACAGCACGTGGTTCTAGCCTGTTCAGCCCTGAAGAAAATGTACAGAGACATCCTCATCCGAGGAAAAGATGGTGCAGCTCTGAAGCATGAGGAGTCGGGAAAGAAAGAAAGGCTGGCTGAAGTGCAGCTCTTGGTGGTCCATCTGAGGGGGTCGTTTGAAGTCATCTCTGGACACTTACTCAAGAGAAAAGGACATTTCATGCCCCCTGAGTTATTGCAGTCCCAGTTTGAGACTCTGGAGCCCCCAGCAACTCCAGAAAACTTTATCCAAGTCAGTGTGGACAGAAATCTTTCAGAGGTAATTACTACAGTTATGGAAACTTTAAAAATGAAATCAGAATCATTTCTTATGAGTGGTCTGCAACAGAATTGGGAACAAATCTCCAGCCCATTCCAAACCTTGTTCCAGTCTCCTTGCCTATACTGTACTCTGAATTGTTCTTAAGGTGAACAAACCACAATGTGTTGAGATATTATACTTGTTTGGATGTATTTTTGGGAATTTGTGACATACTTAGCATCATGTGCTGGTACGTTGGGAGAAGAGGAGAGGGAACTTTAAAGGTCAAGCTTAAACTGAAGTTTAAATTCATCTGTGACCCAATCAAATGATCGAGGAAATTCTGTCATCCATGTTGGAAACGATTACCTTGTTTAGAACATTCTCGCTCATGCCTTTATTTGTACGAATAAATGAAGCTTGGCTATCCTTGACATTCCTGGAAATTAATTGGCCTCAGGAGCAGAAATGGTGTAAAACCAGCCACCTGCCAAAAAGTCATTTCACATCACACACCTCCTAATTCTGTCCTGTGGTTCAATTCAGTGGCTCTTAAGCTGAGGTCCCAAAGGACTGTAATAACAGAACAAGCAACTTTGTGCAGTTCTTCAAACAGCCTGATGCAGGCATATTTACCAGCAGCAATACAAGTCTCTTGCCTTTTGCCTAAAAAAAACCTGTCAACTGAAAGTGGTAGCACTGTCTCTCGCTGATCAGCAGCTCTCTGCTGAGCAATTGTGTGTTATGCATATGTGTACAATTGAAACACAGAAAGTTAAATAACTGCTACTTAAAAGGTAGAGTTTGGCCACCAAAATCTTTCATGATAGTAAAAAAATCACTTTGGTAGAAAAAAGACTGAGAACTACTACTTTAGAGAAAAAAAGTACGCTTTTCAAGTTGGGGAGCTGTGAAAATAGTTCACTTAAGACATTCCTACTCCAAAATGTCTGAATTTGTGCAGTGGCAAAGCTGGAGACAGATCTGAGCAATCAGCCCAAAGTATGTGGGCACTGCCACTGGGACTACCCGAGGCGTGGGATTTCTGGCACAGCATGAAACAGTTGATGCATGTGATCATAGAGGATCCCCCTTACATTTCTTTGTCACTCTGCCCTCTGGGGCATGGAGAACACCTTTTCTGTGTCAGTGTCTTCACTCGTCTCCAGCACTGGCTGATTTCCCTTTTCAATGAAGAAAGCAGGCGCAGGCTCAGACACCTGGCAGACACAGTCTCCCCACAATTTAACCGCTTTGTTGTTCTTGTGGTTTCTATTTTTACTTTCCTTCTAGTTGAGACAAGTGACATTATGGTTTCTTTAAAATTATACATATTTAAATAAAGTGGGTTGTTTCAAGATAAAAAGTACACATGGTTCATGGATATACAAAAACCGCAAAGGGAGAACTTCAGGGACTGAAGTGTGGGGTTCCCTGATCCAGTCTACCCGTCATTTTACAGACAGGCCTCCTGAGACCAGGGCTGTGTCCACCCACCCACCCTCCTCCTGGAAGAGCATCGGTGATGGACATGAGGCAGGCGAAGGAGCACGAGAGCCTCTATGGCCAAGACATGCAACGAAACCTTCCAGGAGGCAGGGAGGCACCACTGTTGTGGCAGCAGCTGGGCCGGCAGGCAGCATGGGGGGTCAGAGGTGCTAGCCAAGGCACCAGCTGTGGAGGCCACCATCTGGCCAGCACGGGCCTTGCTCGATCTGTCCCCCACTGGGCTCTAGGAAGATGCTTTATCTTCTATCCCAAACAGGCCCCAGCCACCCTGCAGGGCCCACTGGTTAGCTCTGGCCAAAGAGTGAGTTTTAGAACCAGTTACGTTTTCTTTCACAAGAGCATGCTGTCTTTGACTTGGGAACCACGAATAGAGTAAGTGCTCGTGGAATTAAAGGGCCCTACTGGGTGGATGGCGCTTGCCTAAGAAAATGTGGAGCCCTATTGCTTCCTCTCTGCCAAGCTACTGGGGCACCTCCTGCCTGGCTTCAGTTTCCGTCAACCCTCACATTCAGGGTCCAGGCCCTCCCACTCCAGATGCATGAGTTCCCCTTCCCCTCAGATGTAGACGAGGGGATCTGTCAACCCACTGCACTCAGTGAGTCTGGACTGAGTACGTGATGGGCATTCTGGAAGGCTGAGGGCACGTAACACAAAGCCCTGGCTCTCAGGTGGCCCGAGTCGGGGTGGAAAGCCTAAGGCATCAGGTGTTCTCTGGCTCAGGCTAGATCCCCCATGAGAAAAGAAAGACGTGACAGGGGTTTTGAAAAGAGGAATTTAGATCTGCTGAAAGACGTACATTCCAGGTGGATTCTGAGTGCCCCTGCCCCTGCCCCCAGTTCCCTTCCTTTAATGAATGCCAACACACCATCTTGGACAAAAGACTTGAACCAGACCACCCCAGCGTGCTAGCCAAGGCACCAGCTGTGGAGGCCACCATCTGGCCAGCACGGGCCTTGCTCGATCTGTCCCCCACTGGGCTCTAGGAAGATGCTTTATCCTCTATCCCAACCAGGCCCCAGCCACCCTGCAGTGCCCACTGGTTAGCTCTGGCCAAAGAGTGAGTTTTAGAAACAGTTACGTTTTCTTTCACAAGAGCATGCTCTCTTTGACTTGGGAACCACAAATAGAGTAAGTGCTCGTGGAATTAAAGGGCCCTACTGGGTGGATGGCGCTTGCCTAAGAAAATGTGGAGCCCTATTGCTTCCTCTCTGCCAAGCTACTGGGGCACCTCCTGCCTGGCTTCAGTTTCCGTCAACCCTCACATTCAGGGTCCAGGCCCTCCCACTCCAGATGCATGAGTTCCCCTTCCCCTCAGATGTAGACGAGGGGATCTGTCAACCCACTGCACTCAGTGAGTCTGGACTGAGTACGTGATGGGCATTCTGGAAGGCTGAGGGCACGTAACACAAAGCCCTGGCTCTCAGGTGGCCCGAGTCGGGGTGGAAAGCCTAAGGCATCAGGTGTTCTCTGGCTCAGGCTAGATCCCCCATGAGAAAAGAAAGACGTGACAGGGGTTTTGAAAACAGGAATTTAGATCTGCTGAAAGACGTACATTCCAGGTGGATTCTGAGTGCCCCTGCCCCTGCCCCCAGTTCCCTTCCTTTAATGAATGCCAACACACCATCTTGGACAAAAGACTTGAACCAGACCACCCCAGCAGCTCCACACCTGGCCTACCACGCTGGGTCTTAGTCTCCCCTCCGTCACGATGACAGGCAAAGGAGAAACAAAGGAAGGCAGTGGCTGTCAAGTGTGAATCACCTGAGGAACACTGATGGCTTCCTGCCTCCTCCAAGCCTACTGGACCAGCGTTTGTTCTGAGGGCCCAGGTCTCTCATCTGGGAGCTCCACAGCTGACTCTGGTGAGCAGGGCTGGGAAGCAAAGGCTTCCTGCCTCCTCCAAGCCTACTGGACCAGCGTTTGTTCCGAGGGCCCAGGTCTCTCATCTGGGAGCTCCACAGATGACTCTGGTGAGCAGGGCTGGGAAGCTCAGGGTATGGTCAGTGAGCAGGACCGTTTAGATACCAGTTTTAGCCTCACCCAGCGTGCAGCAGCAGGGAGGCTTATGGCGATGGTGAATTTCAGATCTGGGTTGGTTCTGACCAAACAAAGACCCACTGGACAGCTCACAAAGGGCCACAGATGAGTGAGTGGTGCTTTGGGATGGTGACAGGGTGGGGCACCTAACCACACTAGGGACAGTGGCTGATTTACTCGGCTGGGGTCACAGGAAGAAGGAACCGAAGAGAGGAGTGGGGTGAATTCCCTGTCTCATCAAGGACACTGAGTTACACGGCCCTGGGCGCAGCAGACCACAGGGCTAGCTGGATTTGCGAATGTGGTCTGCCCAGAGGAAAAGAATAGTCTTTAATGCCATTTGAATAAAGCCTGGGCCCTCCCCTCTTGAGTGTCTCTCTTGGTTTAGCAGAGAGAAGAGAGAGTTCGATGAGGCCTTCAGGTGAAGAGAATACACTGAGATGAGGGGAAATGGTGGGAGCCCTTTCTCTGAACAATCCTCAGTCTATCTGCTGATGGATGGAGAAACAAAATGTGGTATGTCCTCACAATGGAAGGTTACTCAGCCTGAAAGGAATCACGTGCTAAGACATGCCACACAGGGATGAACCCCGAAAACTTTATCCAAAAGCAAAAAAGCCAGGCAGAAAAGGCCACACATTGCATGGTCCCATTTATCCGAAAGACTTAGATTAGGCAAATCCACACAGACAGGAAGTAGGTTGGTGCGTGGCAGGGGATGGGGAAAGGTGGGAATAGAGACTGACTGCTAATAGTTACAGCATTCCTTTTTGGGGTGATGAAATGTTCTGGAATTAGACAGCAGTGAAATATACTAAAACCCACGGAAGTGTATTTTAAAATGGTGAATTGTGTGGTATGTAAGTTATCTCATTAAAGAGAGAATGGCCCCAGCGAATGCACCGAGGTGTGTGAGGAGGTGCCTCCCCCATCCCCACCTCGAGGAGGTCTCACTCTGCACCTGAACCCAGCTCCCGCAGAGGGCTTCCACCTAGGAGTGACTCCTGTGTGTAAAGGTAGTTCTCTAACAACATGATCCCTAAGTGCAAGCCAGCTTCTTCATTTTCATTCAACCAACAGCACTGATCTGTTCCAGTGCTGGAGGGCATATGGCTGTGTGGGACTTACTGAGGGGTGGCGTGTGTTCTGTGGCCTTCTGGATTTGAGGACACTTTTGACCAAGTGATCTTTGCTTTACGAGCTGCCTCAGAAGACAGTGAAGATGCAGGTTAGCCTGCTGGAGGCTGTAAAGGTGAGCTGGAGACAGAACCCAATGCTGTGGCTGGTGGAAAATAAATCTCACTCACTGGCTCACTCATCAGCCCCACCCTTGGACTGGGTGCTGTGTTGCAAGCAGGAGAAAGAGAAATGAGCAGGGGTGGACAAGCAAAGAGATGGCTCCAAAGCAGTGTGACACAAAGAGGCACAGATAACAGGCTCCTATTCCAGCCTGGGGATATCTGGAAAACAGCATCTCCATGGTACAGCTCAACAAAGCCAGTGGTTCTCAATGAGGAAGACTCCTCCCCCTGGGGCCATTTTAGAAACTGACAGGGATGTTTTTAGTGGTCATGATGGCAACGAATGAGGTGAGCGTGGGAGTACTGGCATTTAGTGGGCTCAGGCTGAGGGTGCTACATTTCATGCAGAACAGGGGCAGTTCTTCCTCAAAATATCCGAATATCCCGCTGGATATTCATGCAGTACTAAATGAAAAGCCTGTTTGTAACTACGGGAGTACAGAATCTATATTACACATAAATAAAAATAACTTTTCAGTTTTAATATCCATTGAAATTTTCAAGAATAACCTTGTAAACAAAGAGACAACTGTATTCCATTCTATTTTTAATTTTACCAAGCGTTGTTTACAGTTTTATAAAACCAT